GGCGGAGTGGTATCGTTATCTTCCTTTCCCCGCACCGACTTGTGCTTATCATGTGGGGTCGTATATAGGGTCACCGGACTACGCTCAAATGACTGGGTTCGACCAGGTACATAGACCCTCGCCCTCCGTCTTCTCAGGTTAGGGATTCTCGACGGCGCTCGTCTGTGCGGTTCCTTCATTCACTGCCGTCGACCTCCGAGGATGTCAAGTCTACTCAAGCGCCTCGAGATCAAGGGCAGAAGCGAGTCCGGTAGCAAGGCCACGGCATGGATCAACCATGACATCATCCCACTACCGCCCTCTCGCAGAACCTGGGGCGCCTGGTCCTTCGTCGGGTACTGGATGCTCACGGGCTTCAATATCAGCGGTTGGACGACCGCGTCCAGTCTTCTCGGGATTGGTCTGAACGTCTGGCAGGCTATGGTCTCGGTCATCATCGGCTACTCCATCGTGGCTTGCGCTGTGGTCGCCAACGGCGTCGTCGGAGCCGAGTGGCATGTCGGTTTCCCGGTCTACAACCGCTTCGTGTGGGGCACATACGGCAGCTTCTTCCCGCTGCTTATGCGCATCCTGCTCTCCATTGTCTGGTACGGCGTACAACTCGTCTTGTGAGTATTGCAGACCCTCTTTGTCGATGCACATGGAAGCTGACCATACCCTTTACAAGCGGTGGAAAGAGCGTGAGCAATCGCCTATGTGGTACATAGTATGTCAATATCCTAACAAGTTTTGCGGCCGCAGGTCAAGGTCGTTATTGGAGCCATATGGCCCAGCTTCTATACTCTCCGCAACACGCTGCCCGCGAATGCCGGTATAGAGTGAGTGCTGTCGTCTCCCGAGCTCTACGCATTATCACTCATTACCCCATAGGCTCAACGACCTCATTGGCACCCTCGTCTTCGCGGCGATTTCGCTTCCCCTCCTGCTTGTGCCTCCCGAATTCTTCCGGAAACCATTCCTCGTCGGTAGCGTCGTCATCACCATCACGACGTTTTGCATGTTCGTCTGGGCGCTGGCAAAGGAGGGCGGCGGCGGTCCGCTCCTAAGTCACCCCAGTGAGCTCAGCGGCGTCGAGCCTCTCTCGAGCGGCTCAAAGCTCGGATGGGCGATGGCGTACGGCGTCAGCTCGACGATCGGTAGTATCTGCGCGGGCATCCTCAACCAGAGCGACTACACCCGCTTCGCGTCGTATCCTCGCGCACAGATCATCAGCCAGCTTGTCGTCGTCCCCGTCAGCTCCATCATCATCGCCCTCATCGGCGTCGTCGTCACGAGCTGTGCGGCCGGTTTCTTTCCCGACGACGGGCTGCTCTGGGCTCCGTACGATCTGCTGCCCGTCATCCAGGCTCGCGGAGGACCCGGAGCTCGTGCGGCCTGCTTCTTCGCCGGCTGTGCGTTCGTCATCTCGCAGCTCGGTATTAACGTCCCGGGCAACGCGGTCTCCGGCGGTATCGACCTCTCAGGACTGCTTCCCAAGTACATCAATATTCGAAGGTGCGTACGTGGGCTTAACAACCGTTACGCGGTGCTAACTGTCGCACAGGGGTGCTTTCATCACGGCGGCTCTTGGAATCGCGATATGCCCATGGAAACTCCTCACGGGCGCGAGTGTCTTCCTTACCGTGCTCAGCTCATTCGCCGTGTTCTTGGGCCCACTCACCGTACGTACCCTGCCATATGGGTTTCCCTCACCTGGAGATACTCACGGCGTCGCTGCATAGGGAGTGATGGTGTCCGACTACCTCATCATCCGACGGAGGAAGTTGCGGCTGTCTCACCTCTACATGCCCAACTCGGGGTCTATCTACTGGTTCACGCACGGAGTCAACTTCCGCGCCGTTGTGTCGTGGGCGTTCGGCGTCTGGCCGCTCATGCGTACGTTTGTTCTTCTTTCTTCATTCGCGTGTCATGCGCTGACGTGAATGCGTGCGTGTCCGCGACGGGAACGCACAGCCGGCTTCATCAATGCCGTCTCGCCGTCTCCAATCGGGGTGTCTGAGAGCTGGACGCACGTCTACGATCTCGCCTGGCCGCTGGGTTTCACACTGAGCGCGTGCATCCACGTCGCGCTCAGCAAAGCATTCCCACCCGTTGGTTTGGGTACGGTCGATGACAGAGACGTGTTCGGCACGTTCAGCGAGCAGGATGATGTGGCACCCTCGACTGCGGCCTTCGACAGCGACGTGGATACGGAGAGTGTGAAAGGTGCGAGCGTTCGGGAATTGGTCGTCTGAGTGTATGTAAACTAGAGGTATGTAGCATAGCTACCGTGCGTTGTCCTACGATACTGACTAGGTAGTCGTTCTTACAGATGTTGGCCTTCAGGCTCAGCACACGTTCTGCTTCAATTTCACTGGTGTATGACATTCATCACAGACGCGATTGCAAACACGTCGCAAACTGCTGGCGCCCACAGCTAGGTGAGACGATGGACGCATATGGTTATGCATAGACGCCAGCCGGCCTTGGCAATGTCATGAGATCCCGTTTCGAACGCCCGTGGAAATGGACCCTCGTCAAGCTCTTTACAAGTTTGGAGGAGATGCCGCCGGGACACGCAAGCTTTGGCGTAGCTATGCATATCCAGCCCCTGCGGCTGGGTACCCAGGAGCAAACGCTTACCTTCCATTCGAGGTTCTAATCGCGGTTCCTAGTGAGAAAGCTTACTCAAGTGCCGTACCGCATGTCCACTCAGCGCACCGCAGAAGTCACGTTCCGGCCGAATCCCATTCAGCTCCTTCTCACGAGACGCTCTAGGCTGCATAAGGCGCAGTGTTCGGCTGTCACCTGCACACGGGGCACTCTCATCTATGACGGACGCGCCAATCCCTCATCGGCCGTTCGTAGCGGATACGGCTCGAGTACTTATGCTTCTCTCCGCAGGAGCAGACGATCCTCCAATCCCTGCTGCTCTCTTACGCTCTCCATCTGCTGACAACAGCTTCATCGACTGACGACAACAACGCTCGCAATGGCCCCTCCCGCCGTAGTCAATGACCTCGATACCTTCTTTCCCTTGCCTTCCCCCGCCCCCTCTGCTGAGGGCCCTGTGCGGTTCCCGGGTGTGACCGCCGAGTCCAGCGCTGTGCTCGCCGAGGTTCTCAAGGACAACCACGTGAAGTGGCACGCGTTTTTCAACGACCGCGGCTTCCACAAGTGAGTCCGTTCGTTAGCACGGCACGGTTGATGCTGTGTCTCACGCAGCGCCACCGGTGTGCCGCGGCGATCATTAATGCGTTTCATAGCCACGCTTCCCACCATCTCGTCGCCATCTACGCCCTGGGCGCGGGAGGCCCACTGATCAAGGCTGCGTACGAGACGCATGTGTCGTACTTGCTCCCCGCGCTGGAGTCGCCGGAGAAGATCACCGAGAAGAACTTCTTCGACCACCTCGGGAAGCGCGAGTCCGTATTTGCTGCGGTCGCCCCTGTCCGGTGTGCCCCGTACTGATGTTGCTCGTATGCCAGCTTTTACAACTCGTACCTCGAGTACTTCCGCGAGCTCCTCCGTAAGAAGGACATCACTGATGTTCTTGAGGAGTACTTCTTCTCGACCAAGGCCAATGCCGGCGGTGCTGGTATCGAGGGTCAGCCGAAGCTGCTTGGACGTCTGCTAGCCGGGTTGGTCCACCCTCTCATCCATGCCGGTAATGGTCTGGAATTCGGCTTCCTTGGACTGGTCGCCGAAGGTCAGTAGCCCATGTTCGGTTTCGATAGTAGTGGCTGACCACCCACCCACACACAGGGTTCGCCCAGGCGGCTGTTCACGAGGTCCAAGGTACCAACCTCGTGCCCAGGTCTCTCCTGGAGCACAAAGATGGCGGTGCTATCACTGTTGAGCGGCTTACCGCCCTCTTGCCGTCGCTCTCCCTGAGCAAGAAGCACAGCGGGGGTAAGGGCGCCAGCGGCAAAAAGGGCGTGCACGCCTTCAGTATCCTGGCGCGCGTGCTCGCCGACGACAAGTTCTCACCGGCTGCTGTCGGAATACCCGCGCAGTCTAACTTCGAGCGGGTGAACAACGTCGTGGGTGATGCCCTGGCCGCACTCGCCGCCGAGTGGGTGGCTGACCTGGCCGGGGACGGCGCGACGCCTGCCGCGATCTCGAAGAAGGTGGAGGAGCTGACGTGGGTGAACTCCATCATCTACGGTATCGGTGGATGGGGCGCCCGCAACGATTCCCAGAACAAGAAATTCAAAGCGGACTTCTTCTAGTACGTCGCCGACTCTGATGGCTAGAAGTACTCTACTAATGCGGCGGCTGCAGCATGCATCTCGTCACTTCAGCAATCTTCCTGCCGTCCTTCATCGCCTATCTCTCCCCGCGCTCCGCAACCCTGCTTTTGGAGAGCTACTTCGCCACGAGCATCACCTGCTACGTCTCCCAAGGCCGCGTCGCGCTCCCGATCCGCGAGTTCTTCGAGGCCACGACCGCGAAGCCCACTCCGCCCCAGACCAACCCCCCGCCCACGAAGGGCAAGCGACTCACGCCCGAGGACCCCGTGCCTAACACCTGGCTGCCCATCATCGATGCCACGCTCACGCACCCGGGCGAACACGTCTGCAAGCTGCAGCGTGCGCTGGCACACAACGCGGTGCTCTACGGGACGCGCCCTGCTGGCTATTTCGCTGGTACCGAGTTGAAGGACGCGGAGCTGCTCGACGGGACGCTGTTCATTCGCACCGCCGGCTTGACCGCGGACCGCGTGGGCTGGGTGATGGAGAGCGAGCGGTTCGATGAATGGGATCGTAGCTTGAGCTTCTGAGGTATCTGAACGGTGATACCTGCCAAAGGATGGTTGAAATTTTGTACTATAGCTGCTGTCATAGGATTGGAAAGGATGACCAGTAGGTTACCCAATGCCTGGCACCGTTGCATATAGTCGGTGGCTCTGTCCGAATTGTGTGTTTTGATCAGAGGAGCAGAACCCGACAGACCTTCCCTGGGTAGTACAATTCCTTTCCAGGAATGAGATATACAAACGCGTATGTTATGTCTGCCACGGTTCGATGGTGTAGTTGGTTATCACGTCTGTCTCACACGCTTGATCACAGGAGGTCTCCGGTTCGAGCCCGGGTCGAACCACTTTTTGCTTCGTCCGCGTCAACTTCCGAAGTCAGTCGTGTACTGAAGCGTATACGTGACTTTGACCACGATGGAGTGAGGAGGTACATCCCACCGTCGGCTACAGATTACAATGTCTGCAAGTTTACTGCACTGAATCTCTACTATGACACAGCACACTGACGTTTTGCGTAGTTTCTCATGCCATGTCACCATCGGCAAACATACCCAAGAGCGTAGCGACTCCCGCTCGCAACGACCGGCGCATCCTCCTCGCGCTATCTTGCACCGCTACATTGCTCACCCTACTCCTAACACTCGCCTCCTCGCAACTACCGCGTTTTGATGCATCCCCTCTGCTACTCATCGACCCTCAACCAACAGGGAGAACGTTCCGCAGCACCATCGCATCCGCCGTCTTACGATGGGACACGTTCCATTTCGGGCATACGGCGAAGGAGGGATACGTGTACGAACACGAGTGGGCGTTCTTCCCCGGGATCTCGTGGGCGATGCGCACCTGGCCAGCGCTCGAACGTCTGCTCGGGCTGCGGCCAGCGGATGCCCCACTCGAGTGGGAGGATGTGCTGTTCGGCGGCTTCCTGGCGTCCTCTGTGGTGTCGGTCTTCTCGGTGCTTGCGCTGTACGACTTGACGGTGCTGCATTTCCGGTCGCGGGAGATCGCGTGGCTTGCGTGTCTGCTCTCGTTGCTTCCCAGTAGCCCGGTGACGCTGCGGATTGCGGGGTATACCGAGGCGTTCTTCACGTTCTTGTCGTATCGGGGTAGGTCTCCGGCCGCCGTTGGACGTGGGATTGAGACTGAAGCTGATAGTCCTTTTCTGTAGGTATGCTGTGCTGCGCTAGGAAGCAATGGTTCTGGGCCGCTTGCTACTTCGCGCTTGCGACTGTCTTCCGCTCTAACGGCATCACGCTCTCTGGATTTATTGCCTGGGGTTTAGTGATCGAGCCTCTTCTTCAGTCCAGGAAGGTTGGCGACTCGTCCATCCACGCATACAGGGTGGCGAATATTGACAATTCTCCACAGTTCCACATCGGGAGAGCCCTCTACGCCTTGGTCCTATGCGCACTGACGGTATCGCCTTTTGTGCTATACCAATACTATGCATATCGCCTCTTCTGCGCTGGACATACGACGCCTGCGCCCTGGTGCAGTGCATTTCCGCCCTCCATCTACACGTACGTGCAAGGGAAATACTGGAACGTCGGCTTCCTGCGATACTGGACTCCCCAGCAGATCCCGAACTTCCTGCTCGGCGCCCCTCCACTCGCGCTCCTCCTCACTTTCACCACCCGGTACATCCGCCTCGCGTTCCTCCCCCGCTTGCGCGCTGCCCTCCTACCCTCTTCACGCCTGGATAAACGAACCGCCGCTGCCCCTGAAGGCTCCTTTGCGTCGCCGTTCCTCACGCCGAGCATCGCCCCGCACGCGCTCCACGCGCTCGCGCTCTCCCTCGTCCTCCTCTTCGCGTCGCACACGCAGATCGTGCTCCGCCTCGCGGCGTCCATGCCGCTCACGTACTGGGCCGCGGCGTGGCTCCTCGTCGAGCGCCCCCGGGCGGGGAGGTGGTGGGTCGGCTGGAGTGTGGTTTGGGGCGCGGTCAGTTGTGTGTTGTGGGCGGTGTTCCTACCGCCAGCGTGAAAGGGTCATGGGAGAATGTCAGACTTCGAGAGTGTTTCAATAGTCGCGGTTGCATAGTGATGGTAGACTGGGCCTGTTAACTAGGCGGGGCAATTCCAGGCACACTGCAATCCGGGCAGACAATCTATCCGTCGGGAGGTATCCAGGTATCGTGTGGCGAACTTCTGGTTGATGTCGTAAGCCGCCCGAATCATCACAAGGGCAAGCTCGTTACTACAGCAGTTATACGCTATGTACGCAAGCCAACGGGCAACACGTATGAGAGGTCTGTTTCGGTGCGCGCGTCGATGAAAGCAACAAAGTAATTAGAACATATCGAAACCCATGGGTGCACAAGAAAGAGACGTTAAGCGATACAATATAGAGGCGGAGACATGCGAGCAAGGGGCAGGGCACTCAGGTATGTCAATGGCACCGTCGAAGTATTCCGGTAGTAATTAGCTTCAGATTATGACGATCTCCACAGATGGCGGCAAGGTGTCCTCCCAACCCATATCCCGCATTGCCCCCTGGAGTACGCTGAAGACGCCGATCCTGCGGAACGCGGTGGTCCCAATCTCGTATCCGGGGTTCGAAGCTTCCGTATTGTCAGGCTTGTTATGGCTAGAGGGAGCAAGAACGAGGAACCACCAGTGGTGCTCCCTGTCCATACCGCCGTGATGGAAACCAGTCTTTGCGTGGTATTGACGCGTCCTCAAGAGTAACGCAGCCCGAAGAGGCGCAACGGCAGAATCGCTTTCGCTATCGATCCATCCACGACCGTAGAGCTTCTCGCTTTTGATCGTGCCGCGCTTTGGTGAGTTCAAGTCCGCTTGGCTGGTCGCGATTGACACAATGCGACTCCCGTCCTCGCCGTTCACGTCGCCCCAGGCACAACAGAAAAGTGGCGCCCGCATGACAAGAGATCCGTCATCCACCGCTCCGAACGGGATCGTATCGTCTTCTAGCCCGACCGAGCAGTTGACGACCTTCGCGAATGCCCCGGCATCCTCGGCTTTAGCGCTCCATATCGAATCGGGGAGCTCGACCCCTCCTTCTACGGCCGCCCAAGACCACGATGGCGCACGGTACCGAGGGCGGGGAAGGTGCGCACTGCTTCGAAGGGTGCGCCAGAGGAGGTCCCGCAGGAGGCTGTCGCGCCACAGCCCAGCGAGATAGTCAGAACCGAAGGTACGATGGAATTCCTCTGCGACGCCGCCACATGCGACCAGCTTGTCCGAGGGGAAGGACACGCTGCGAGGACTGTAGTCCACCACTGCCTTCCACCACGCTCGCCATATCTTGTAGCGGTCCGCACGAGTGGAATGATTGGACTCGAAGAGCTCGTCTGGCAGACGTTGCGTGTCGAACCAGCCGTCGTGATGCGCGCCGCCGACGTTGACCGTGGAAGTCTGGCATCGGAACACGACCGTCTGAGAGGTGAAGATGAGCGACCGGGGAGACATGACCAGTTCTTGAAAGCACCAGGCACGACGGTCGACATGTTCGGGAGCCGGTGAGTCGGATCGATCCGTAGACCTCTGGTGGAGATATACCGTGCCGACCTGCGGTTGCTCAGCATACCCAGAGGCCTCCGTCGTGTTCCCGGGCTGTTGCGGACAGATGAAGGGAAGGGCTAGTATCTCCGTCGGGGGTGGGGCATAGCTCCGCTCCTGAAGAAAGCCCTCGGTGGCTCCTGAGGCACTGGCCGCGACGATGGTGAGGGATGCGTAGCGGTAGATCTGGCGCATGTACCGGATCTCGCGATGCTTATCCTCCTTTGAGTCCTGAATAATGCAAAGACCGTCGACCCAGAGGTACCGGAACCCAAGGTCGTGAGTGACTCGGATCGCATCGCGGATGGTCCCAGGAAGTTCGTTGAAGCCTATTCCCTCCGTGTAGACAGAAATGTTGGCGCTAGTCGTGCAGTACGCCGGCCGCGTGTTGCCTGCGCCCCACACGTAACTCAACGCTACGTATGCCTTGTCGTCTTGCTTGGCGATACCAGTGGTATGTATGAGCCGTGGGTGCAGCGGGTCGGCGCAGTCGATGAGGCGTGTAGGCAGCGTGTGACTGACGGAATGATCGGTGATCGCCCGGCAGCGCCCATGCTCATGCGCGCATTGATGGATGCACTCCTTCGCAAGGCCAAGAGTGCGCCGGGATCCTACGTCCAAAAGCAAGTCGTTGTGCGGGATGAATTTTGCGGCGGGATCATCTAGTGATCGCCATCGGTTAACACTTCGGTGGAGGAGACTCCGCTCGTACCACACACCTCGAATCGTCCAGACATTCACGTATGATTTGCTAGTCTTGAATTCCATGAACGACGCGAAGTGCATCTGGAATACCGACTGGTGTTCCCAATGCCGCAGTACTAACTTGGGCTCGCCTTCACAAGGGAGCTTGTACGGATCTTCGGTCTGTGGCTGGCGTTAGCGTGGTCCGTGAGACCAACAAAGCCTCGTATACCAACGCACCTCTTGGACAATCACTGTGCGACTTGGATCCAACGCGTCCAAGACGAACCGGCACCAATGACACCCTTCGGCTGTGCTACGCTGCAAAGTGTACTCCGAGACCAGATACGAGTAGTCGTCTCTTGACAGCAGCCCAAGCTGGTTTGCCAATGGACCTTCCCAGCAAGTACCACAGATGTTGGGAGGTCGAGGAGGAAGAGGCACCTTCTTGCAATTCCCGGCATCGATTAGAGGAGAGTCGGATGATGGTTGCGTAGGCTCGTGGGGGGATGCAGGCGGATTGGTTGATGGGGGCGGGGTGGGTCCATTTCGCAGCAGCGCAGGTCGGAAAGAGAGCATAAGCTTGTAGAGAGAGAAAAGTGTCGGCGCCGCAGTCGGGAGACCGGGGAGTAGTCGCGCCACGCGAGAGACGTACTGGCCCATTCGAGCAGGTGAAATCGGCAGAGGCGGTAGCGCAAAGGGGGTGTCGAGTGGATGTTCGGGACTCCCTCACTGGCGAGGACGAGCAGTCACGACGGCTGGCGAGAATAATGAAGCTGTCAACGATGGGGTGGGGGCAAGTTGAATTGGGGGTTACGCACTAAATAGCACTTATTGGCGCCTTGGGGGACATGACCCGGAGACTCACCTCGTTGAAATCGTGCATTGGCAAGGCCTCTCATATCAAGCCTCTGAGGTGCACGATACATGCTGTAGGCGATGACCTGTACGCCGAAGCTTTGCTCTGGCGCTCATGGTATAGAGTTCCGTACCTGTTGACACCTCATTTCCGTGTTCACACGAGTGCCGTCCTTGAGTTCTCGGCAACGCACAGGCTGTCCCGGGTACGTACGGGCCACTGAATAGCCTTCTCAGGTCGATCTATTCGCACGCAAGGTAGACACTGCAAGGTGTTGATTTAC